TATGCACACACATGTATGTATGCTTTTTGGTGTCTCATAGGCTCAGAACCTATCATAGAGGGGGCGTAGAACTTCCCAAGCCAAGAAGCTGTTAACCCGTTTCACGCCCACGTAAATTTCTCAAAACGGCATTCTTCCCAAAGTAGTACAATCCTGGCTAATTGTGAGGATACCAGAAAACCTACACCTGCAAGAGAGCCCGCATTCACGCATGTCATGTGTGCAAATACACGGCCTATGCACAAGCCTGCTCTTAAATGTTTATGCGGAAGTGTGTATACTGTACATGTATGTATGTATGTATGTATGTATGTATGTATATATGTATGTACGTACGTACGTACGTACGTACGCATGCATGCATTCACACACACCTCTCCCTCTCGGTTTCTCTCTCTCTCTCTCTCCCTCATCTCTCTCTCTCTCTCTCTCTGTCTCTCTCTCTATCTCTCGCTCGCTCTCTCTTGCGAGCCCCTTCAGCATTGACAGGTCATGTTTCCGCAGACCAGTGGCTCTTTCAGGCCTGAGTCATCGCCGTTGCCAGGCGTAATACCTATAAGATCCAGCGGTTTAAGCGTTTGGACTGGATGCAGGATCCGGCCTTGAGTTTTGTCTCTTTTTTTTCCATTCGTCTGGGCCTTCCTTTTTCGAGCTTGGAGGGCCGGCTGCTAGGGTTTGAGTTGAAGTGCCTGTTTGAGCTGAACATGGGAGGACATGTCATCCGGCCTTTAGGGCTTTGAACCAGTGAGCGGAGCCGAGATGTTAAAGGCTTTTGATTTGGATGGCGGCTTGGGTTCTTTGGTGCCTCAACCGCAGCCGTGCTGCCGATTGACTAACGCTGTCTCTCGAGACTCGTAATCTTGCTCTTCAGAGGACAGACTTCCTCAGGCCCCAAACCCTAGGTGCAAAATCAGATTAATGAAAACCTGCAGAATGATGGATACATGAAAACCTGCACAATAGATTGTGCTCGTGAAGGTCAATTATGTACTCGTAGTCTATACCTTCAACATTACCATATGGTAATTTCCCCAAATAGGGGGACCGCAATATAGACCTTAATATACGACATTTTTATTATGCGGACCCCCGAAAGGGTACCCATAGTTTTGGGAACTCCCCATATATGCAAGCAGGCGCTGGTGAAAGCGGCCCTTGCAGCCCCAGAGGGCTGCGTTTGGAAGTCTGGGGGAAAGCTCCTCGGCGTTGTTACCGCCGTCATGGATCATTATAATTATTATTCGTATTCTCATTATTACTATTTTCATCCCTATTATTATCTTTTTTGTTAGTACTACTATTATTACGATTTGTATTGCTGTTATGGCATCACATACCTGAAGTCTGTTATAGGGAATGTTTGAGGGAGTGGCGTTTCATATCAGGGGGATGGAATTACAAGAGACGGGCATACTAAAGGATACCAATCCAGGACTTCGGGTTCCTGATAGTAGTGGCAACACATCCCTGGCAAGGTACCTTCCCCGTTGCAGTTTGGGGTTAGCGGTTTGGAGTGGGGGACCATTGAGATTGATACTCCTAGCATCCGAAGCCCAAGCTTTTCTAGTAGCGGAACCATCCCGTCGGACGCTCGCCCTTGGATTAAAACAAGAGCTGGGGGAAGTGCTTGTCGTGTCTCTGTGCATTGGTATGTTCAGGAGCTCATGAAATCTTGTCCTCCAGGAGTCCCCAAGAGGTAGCACCATGTCAAAACGGGGAGTCCATGTGCGCCAAATTATCGCAAGCATGAGTACAGCCAACCGCTATAGAGACGTAGTTTACCCTGTCCCTATAATCCATCCATTAGCACCTTATATATCCTTGCTACGTCTGAGACAAGCCCAGCCTACAGGTTCCTGCTTACGAACGAGGACAGGAGTCTTGCAGCAATTCAGGATCAAGGGATTCAGGGTGAGGTGGTCTTGAAACTGTACAACACTGCTGAGCAGTGGAATCCACAAGCATGTCAGCCCCAAGGCGTAGAAGAGAGAATCGGGTTTTGTGTCAGGCCCGCTTTGATAAGACACGCAGCTGCTTGGGATGAGCAAGTTGTAACGTCACAACAGATCTCGTTGCTTCACTTGAATTTCATGCTCATTTACACGGCATGTGCACGGTGAAGATTCGCTGGCTTGGATTCAGCACTTCGGATGGTTCAGCGTACCTGGTTTATTTGGGCTCCGTGATGAGATATTGTAGCCGCATTGTTGTTACACATGTCGGACAAGCAAGAGAAGCATCCGGATGGGGCTGTAGCATTAGTAGCGCGCGGCTTACTCAAGAATAGTTTGCACCAGCTGTGCTGGGTCCGTGAAGGCTTCAAGCGAATGCCGCTTCTTCATGGTCGATGTATTCGGAGCTGACATTGCTACATTATTAAGGATGAGCCCCTGTCAAGTGCTCACATCTACTTCTGGCGTGTGGAAGGTTTGCATAAAGATAGAGGACATGAATTCAGACCCAAAAACATATATACATATATACATATACTGTACTCCATTCCTGAATTAGTATAGCCCCATGAAGATCAAGACATATGCTTCCTAAGTGCAGAACCTCTACTCCAAGGTACGCGGCCTCCACCGGGATGGAAGACCAAACCCATAGCAGTAGGAGTCATAAAACGGGATAGGTATGAGCCTGCGCCATCAAATTCAACCCTGAGCCTTCAAGGAACCAAATGGCGCACTTTAAAAGTCTTCATGAACTGCAGTGTGTGTGTGTGTGTGTTGGATTTTGCGTGGGGGTTCGCATTAAGACCTTCACCGTTCTTTTGCTTGATGGAACCTGCTAAGACATATTCCAGTTGTCCGTGGTGGGACATGTCGCGAAACCACCTAAGATGGCACCAGCGCAGAGAGCGTGTATCAGCCGACTTAGCATGTGAAGTTGAAGAACAATTAACAAGCAACTCGCAAACCATACACTCCCAAAAACCCTTGAGCCGGCGAGCATCAAACCCCAGACGTCTTGCGACCTAGGTCCTACGGAAGCTCGGAACCTTCTCCTGTTGTTCTCTACTCTGTTTTGCACCTGGCCGGTACTTCACAAGCAGCCCCTTCAATGTGAAGCTGTAATTGCTAGACTCTGAACGCTAAATCCGAGACCCCAAACCCCTAAACCCTAAACCCTAAACAACTCATTATAGTAGTTTCCACTTTCTTTTCCATTATCCTTAAAAAACACCGTTTAATCCCTATCAATCCTTAAACAGTCAGCCCAGGAATCAGTCGCCCACCGCCATCGTCGGCGTCCTCGAGCGCGACAACCAGGAGAGTCCAGCCGGCAAGGCCCCGGCGCCGGGTTTGGAGGGCACAGAGTTGAGGGTTTAGGGTTTAGGGTTTAGAGTTTGTTCAGGATTTAGGGTATTATTTAGGGCTTGGGGTTTGGATTCTAGGGTTGCGTAGGGTTTGGGGTTGTGGGTTTAGGGGGTTTAGGGTTTATATGGGGTTTAGGGTTTAGGGGTGGAGGGTTCAGGGCTTGTTTAGAGTGCATATGGGGTTTAAGGTTTAGGGTATTTAGGGTTTGGACTTCAGGGTATATTTTGGGTTCATATACGTTTGGGGTTTAAGGTTTACTTCGGGTTTAGGTTTTGTTTAGGGTTTTTGTTTTATGAGGTTTGGGGTTTAAGGTTTACGGTTTACCTATCTAGGGTTCTGTAGGGATACATCGGGTTTAGGGTAAGGTGCCTGGGGAGCCCAATAATTGAGGTATATGCCTTGAATCACATTGGAGTCTTGACACCATGTAGAGTATATTCTTTGATTAACGAGGGGTCTTGGGATCTCTGATTTCAGGCTTTAGAGTTTCAGGGCTTGGGACTTACATACAAGAGCGTTGGGTTTCGGAGTGTTCGGATCAGACCCTAAACCCTAAACCCTAAAAGGGTTGAGGGTTGCCCAAAGGTTTAGGAATTGAGCGGCTCAGGATGAAGACGGGAGACCTCAGGGCAATAAGCTCAGGAGTTATCATTGGATGCAGCCTAAACCTTAAGCCCTAAAGCCCACTAGAACTACAGGGCAGGACCCTGGGAGCCGAATACCCTTTAATTGGTATCACTCAAGATCGCGAAGTGATTTAAGGTAGATTCCTTAATTAAGATGTATTGGGCTCCCTCGGGATTTTAGGTCTTGTTCTCATCCCCTTTCCGCATGGAACATCAAAGATCGGATGCATGAGAGCAAGATTCCTTGCAGTAGCCCAATCTTATTATAATCTTGTTTGAGTTATGGTCTAAACTCCTTAAGGGGGGTTATATAGGGGATAATACAGGGAACTACTATATGGGTTATTACGGGGGATACTAGGAGTTTAGACAATGGCTCATTTGGGGCATGTGCAATGTCAGGAGTGGAGGGGCCGTAAGTGTTAGGACATGCGATGATTGCATCTTGCGCTGTCAGCCCTAATTTTTGCGCGCCGCACTTTTGGTCTTCGGTGTGTGAGATTGGGGGGTTCACGGGATGTAGGGCTAGGAGTTCGGGGTTGAAAAAGATTGGGAGCAGTAATCACCTTCCCAAACGTGACTGTGGAAGTAAAGCGGTTTGCAGGCACCAGTTTTCAGGCATTCGGTTCCCGGGTGTGCAGTTTGAGGAGCCCTGTAAAAATGGTGAGCATTTCACCTTGCGAAAGAAAGTTTTGACTCTGAGCCTTACGTCCTTGACAACGACCCAGCCTCCATGGCGCAAGACTTTGACGTCTAGGAAGGCAGTAGAAAGTTGTTTTGCAACTGCGTGGCGCACTCGAGCTACAACAAGCCTCTCGAAGGCATCAGTAGCCCTGAACAACCCAGCCCTAGCTTCAGAGCTCAAATGTGCCTGCTTGATTTCTTTCTGACGTGTTAAGGGGCCTAGGCTTGCATAGGTGAGTTCTCAAAGTCCACTCCTGAATCCGATATGGGACCTCCCTAAATCCATTTTTCATCCCCAAATTTCAGGGTCCGTTGGGGGCCCGTTTCTGAGAAACCATAGGTTCTCCCAGTTCAGCCCTGTCATTTTCAGGGCATTCGCGCTCTCGTCTCTCACACAGAGCAGGAGTACGGGTACCGATGCTTTGAAAACATTAACACGGTGCAGCAATCTCTTTGTTGATATACCTCACACTAAGAACTATCCAGTAAAAATTAGTAGTTAGTACCAGTATATGATACCGGGATTCCATAGCGAGGAATTCATCAGGTTAAGGCTTCAAGGGAATGCGCTGTTCAGTTTGATTTGTAACTGTCACCTATTCCTAGTAGTCTTTTTCTATTGCCATTACCAGATTTGTTACCATCATTCGCGCTACTGTTTGATAGTAGCTATTATTCGCAGTGATATGACGAGGATTAAATCGTTCTTCAATGCGCGCGTCAGCTTCAGCGTCCAGTGCTTGACGTGTAATTCTGCTCGTAATACACCTCGGGGTCAACCTAGTTGTACTCTGGTTTCGTCGAGCAGTAGAAAGCATTATAAGAACTTCTGGCCTACTAAAGGTGTCACAGCCATCCAGCTGAACTTCCACCCGAACCACAAGTCCTCCCATAAGTGCCTGGGCGGAGCTGTGGGGTGGGGGGGTGGGCGGGGAGAACGGATTCGGTTTCTGTCGACCTAATGTATGAACATCTTAGTATGTACGCCTTTGCCATGTTCGCGTTGGCCAGCGCAGTGAGGCAGCACCGAGATATCTATGGTGCTGGGCAGAAGGGCGGCATAAACTGCACCTGCAGCTTCATGAAGTGCACTGGAACTGTGGCTTGGCAAGTAAGGGTTGATCACGACGACGGCAGGCAGATGGGGATGGGGGTAGGGTTTTAGAGTGTTACATGGGCTTATACAGGGCAATAATGTAGGGTTACAAGGGGATGTAGAGGATCATAAAGGTATGTAAAGAGGGTAATTAAAAGACATTAAAAGACCAACAAACTTGAGTTCGGCCAGCTCCGCATGTTGTTTGGCTTCTGATCTATCAAGTCAAAAAGCCTACAGTCTGGCTCTCAAGCCAGGAATCTCTGAAGACCAAGCCCTTCAAGTTTGCAGGTCCTTGGGCAGGAGTTTGCTTCTGCTTCCTGATGCCCGAGGTGTGCTACTCAGTCGGTTCCAGCCGACAAGTCCTGTGCGAAACCATCACGGACTCACGGTCAAAGTACGAGACCTGTGGAGAGGCAACGTTCTGCGTTTGCATCAGGTTGCCGCCTTTCGCAATTTGGCTCGAATGCACTTCGCAGCAATGTGCTCAACCAAAATATGCAATGCTGACTCTGGAAGAGATTGTTGCAGGTCGACGGCAACACGTATAGTAGGGCCAAACAAAAGTGGGAGAGTCCCCGAGAGGTGTTTGATGTAAATAGTTCGCAACGGTGGAGTACGCGCGAGGGGACCCAGTAGGAAGTCACACAATTCGGGGGCAACTAGCCGCAGAGGTGGCTGAAGCTAACCAGTCAGATTTTAAACCATGCTCGACGCCTGGTATCTGCAATAGTGTCAGCAGTACAGAGCATGCAGTGAATTACATGAACCGGTAGATGAGGTATCCTAGACTTGGTAAACAGGTCCAGGTCCAAGTAGGCTTGAGTGTCGTGGTGCTTGCCAGGAGTGCACCGGGCGGAAAAGCTACAAGTGGATGCATCTTGGCTGCAATGGCGTCCGTCGCAAATCTATAACCTCCTTCATGAAGGAGATAGAATATGGCTATGGGTACATTATAATAAGATCCCATATACCCCATGTTCTATCTGCTTAAGGGGGACTCTATGACTAACAGGTTCGGGATAAAGGCTGGCCGCAAAGGGTCTCTAGAGAGTGGCGGAAGCAGTGTCTTTGAGCGCGTTTGATGTGTTTGCATATTCTTTGCTCTTCTACGGATGATGCATCTGGCGACTTCAGTTTGCTAGGCAATTGTGCACAACAAAGTTTGTGCCTTTTCAGCCCCGATAGTCGGTGCGGGCAGCTTGCCCTCTCGGCTGTTCAAGCCCGGGATGGGCTTGTAAGCGGTCCGGACAGTATGCGGGCAGCTTGCCCGCACGGCTTTCAAGTGCCAAGATGGGGCTTGCAAGCTGTGCGGGCAGCTTGCCCGCACAGCATTCGCATCTCAAGATGGGCTTGTAAGGAGCGCCGGCAGCTTGCTCGTGCGATTTTGAATCCAAAGATAGGACTTGCAAGCGGTGTGGGCAGCTTGCCCGCACGGCTTCTGAGTTTCAAGATTGTAAGACGTGTGGGCTGCTTGAACCCTTCTCGTTACACTTCTCTTGGGCCGTTGCAGCGTACAGCGAATGCTTGTCAATTCTTCTATTCGGCTGGGGTAGTTACATCATGTGACATCCATTAAGCCCAAAGCCACCAAGCTTTACTTCCAGAATTTCTTTGTAAGTTCGGCGTTGTTTCGTAGATGTTCACCCTTGTCACAGTATGTCCCAGCCACTGAAACCCCAAAAACCTAAGACCCAAGCCTCAAGCATCGTCAAGTCCATCCATGCAATTCAAGGCACAGTGGCAGCGCCATGCACTTCAATGCTCCATGGAGCCGGGCCCAAACTGTGAAGGTTTGGGGATATGGGGGTTTCCCAAAAAAAGGGGGTACCATTTTGTCCCTATAACAAGGACTATAGTATTTTGGGGTCTAAATGGGGTTCCCCCATTTTGGGAAACTACCATATTGAGGGATGTGATGGGATTTGCTCTGAGCAACCCTGGCCAAGGAGCATTCATATGCATGTCTGGCATTCGTTTGAGGATTCGGTGCTTTTCTTGGATGATCGGGGAAGTTGTAGTTGCTGTTGGAATGTTTCCTTCAGAAAGTAGGATAGAGCCCGCTACCGTAAGCCCACGCAAAACGGTCACGCCAGGGTTTGTTGGTTAAGTCTTCGGTACTCACTGGAGAACTGGGAAAAAGTGCACGTTTCAGGTCGCAGCATTTCATGAATAGAGAAAGGTCCAAGGAATCAAGAGCATCAAGTATGTCGGTTCATGTTTCTCACAAGATAGATCGCAGAATCGGCCGAGTGCGCAGCAGCCAAAAGGAAGAACGCCAAATTGCTAAACACTTCTCCCTATGCGTAGATTTTTCGCGAAACCAAAAAAGGTTGCAGAATCTGCTTGAAATCCCCTACTTGAGAGAGAGATGCCCCACCACTGTTCTTGAGGTTGCAGGTTACGGGTGCGATGTCCCTTTTGGGTTTTGAAGTTTCTTTGGCGAACTCATCACGCTACAAAACGTATGCTGCTTGCTCACGCTTTGCTAAGCTCACTGCCCGCTGCCTGTTGCACAGCCTTCTCACACAGACACAAGCAGCAGGTGGGAAACAAATGTAGAGTTCATCTTTATTGACTTTATTGTCAAGTTACTAATCCTCGAGGCGGGCCCCTAGAATCTCTGTGGACATCCTGCCTATCCGCAAGTTTGCCCAGAATGTCCACCGCTTGAGAAGCCCCCAAATTGTTGAGATTTCAAACGCGAAGACTCTGAAGCCAAGGAACAACAACCATACGCATGGAGCCTCATCGGACTCATCTTGTGGGTGTGGGGTTGCATGTTTAGGGATACGGGCTTGGGGGTTCAGGTGAGTAGGGTTGCAGAGGTTGAACATTTTAGGGACGTAGGGCTTTCGGCCCAGGGCCAGGGCGGTCCAGTTGAGGTTTGTGTGGGATTCGGTATGCCCTTTAGAGTTCTGATTTGGGACCTTGGAGCTGGCCAGGATCTGCCCACTTCCAGGAACAGTGTCGTTTCTGTCAAGACGCCAGAAAACCTTTGACCTCCCTTGAAACCTCTGTAGAACCGGACTTGCAACAATCTTACGAGCCCGCCTTAATCCCCCGACCTGCTGACCTTGAAGGCCCTTACAACTTACGAATCCTTGCAACGCTCCATGAGAGGCTTGAGCAGGCCACAGAACAAATTGAGGGCTGAGGGGCAGGGGGCCTACCAATGCCCAATTACTTATTACTTGCTGCAGCGTAGTAAGGAAGAGAGGAAAGGATACCTACACTTAGCCTTGGTTATTCAGTCACGGCATACCAAAAAGCTGCTCATGAAAAAACTTGAGCGGCTCAGGTGTGCCGTCCGTGGATGAGGCCTGCGGCCCTAGGATTTCAATTGCGCTGCTTTGCGCGTGAAGCTTGGGACCCTGAACCCAAACCCCTAAGTCGTCAAGCGCTGCCTCCTCCGAATGGGAAAATTTTACCAGAGGATTCTGAGGATTGTAGTAGTAGTAGAAGTCGTCGTCGTCGTCGTCGTCGTCGTCGTCGTCGTCGTCGTCGTCGTCGTAGTAGTAGTAGTAGTACTAGTAGTAGTAGTAGTAGTAGTAGTAGGGCTTTGGAGTATAATTCTTTTAGTTTACGTCTAGAATGCTACACATGCGGGTCCTCACGGGCACCCTGATTGTGAGAAACCCCACATGAAGGTTCAGGATTTTTTTAGGGTCCACTTCTTATAACTCAAGTACATGCCCTCTATGTCCCCTATTCGGGTTATGTTTTGGTTGAATCTGCAATTAGTTAGACTAAGTCATAATTACCCTGAACCTCCACGCGCAGTCTCGACAGCTCACGACCACCGTATCACGGCCGGAGCGGTTCTAGTGAGTTGATGCCTCTAGGATTTAGGGTCAGGGCCACGGTTTAGCATGTGAGGAGTAGGGTTAAAGGCTTGCGGTTTTGGGGTTCGTATGTTTATTTTGAGGAGTTCTTAAGTCCGGGGCAGAGTCGAGTTAGAAGATGGCACGGGAAGACGTAGGATTTGGAAGCTCTCCCCACTCCCCGTATGCAATTGCGTTGTAAATTGATGAAAACCTGTCTCTGGCATTGCGGCTGCACCTAGGACCTAAGCGCGAGACTTGGTGCTTCAAAGACGGATTCCAAGTAGCAGCTTTGGTAACTTTCTTGTAGAGTGCAGACATTACCACCTGCAGTTCAAGCAGGGCAGTCAACCAGATTTCTTGCTGATGAAGTCACACAGGTTAGGGTTTAGGGATGAGGAAATTTTGGCAACTCCTACCCCTACCCTCAGAGCCTGCAACTACAATCGGATCCTGATTATAGGGGTTGTTGTTACCAAAGTCTCCGTCTCACCTAAACCCCAGTATATACCTCTAGAAGAGTCTATGTACCCTGTATATTCCTACATGACATCCCGCAGAACTGCAGTTTTTGTGGACCGCTCCGGATATCTTTGTTGAAGTTCCCAACCAAATCGGCGGGACTTTGCCGTATCACACGGGTCAAAGCTGGAGGGTCGAAAAAAGTTCGCAGGGCCAGATGTTGGCTTGCTGTTTCGACATCCTAGGCCATAAGCCCTCGTTGTAATCCTGACTTGGCCCTGCCTTACAGACATACCCCCTCTAAACCTGCTTGTGACCCGAGTCAGCTCCCTACGAGAGTAGCTCTGATGTTATACTGCTGCTGCAGTTCCGCGTGGTGTGAGGCAGCTACAGCCCAAATGGAGGCTTCAGGAAGTTGGGGTCTTTTCTTCGGGCAAGGATAGCGGAACGCGGTCCTTCAATTTTGCTTTCCAGGCAGCTAAGTTCAAGAAATCCATATGTTTCAACATGGATTATCCATGATTCGTGTGTTGCAGCAGTTTCTAAAGGTCGGCACGCTATTGATACAACAGAGGTTTCACAGGAAGTCGTAAACACAGAGCGGTTGGCTTCACTTATCCAATCATACGCATCACCAAAGAGTGCAGAATTAATGTGAGACACCTACCAAGAGTCAAAAGTTTTCAGTGGTGAAAAAGTGACTCATGGACATCAGGGTCCATAGCTTGAGTTCCAGTTTCACGTATCCGTCAAGTATGCACCAAGCCCAGGTCCTGCAAACCCTCCCATGAGCCCGTAGGCCCCAAACCAACCAAAATCCTGTCGGTTCTGGATCGCAATGCCCGCCTGGGTTAGCAAACACGTCACCAGCATATAGTCCGTATCCCCTACAACCACCACTATGGATAGCACTTGTGTTCCGTTATACTCCTGCATTGGAATGCCCATGGTGAGCGAAGCTGTCAGACCACAATCTGCGAAGCTGCCGATTGGTCTCCCAAGGTGCCAGTTTGCAGCTGTATCCGTGTTCCAGACCCCTTGGAGGATCTGAAAAAATTAGATCCCCCTTTCTATCAACCCTTGATAATCCCAGCAGAATCCCCCCAATAAATCTGGGGGATCTAATTTTTTTATATCCTTTTGGGGATCTGGGACGTTTCTGATTGAGACTGGAGCAATGGGCCGCCAGGCAAGTACAGAAGGATTCCACTGAACACGTCCAAGATAAAAGATTCGTGGCAGTCTTATAAGAATCTATAACCTAGACCTTCCAAATGACGCTAAAGTACAACATATTGAGCCATGGTCTAAACTCCTTAAAGGGAGTTATCTACGAGACTGTATAGGGGACGACTGTAGGGGTTATTAAGGGAGATACTAGGAGATTAGACTATAGCCTTCATAATCCCTATACAATCCCAGATTCTATTTCATTTTCCATTTTCTTTTCCATTTGATTCTCCATTATAGGGGTTATTAAGGAGTTTAGACTATAGCCCATATTGGCATACTTCAGGTTCGGGCACGTTCCCCCGTCTCTACCTTGGCCTTGCATATGCTGAGCCGCTTGCTTTACAAGACTCTAAGGACGTTAGGAGGGACCCCTAATAGGGACCCTTGTAGCTTGTGGGGGTTAATATGGGGACTACCTAGGGATATAGGGGTTATATAATGACTATATAAGGGTTATATATGGTAATGGGATT